GCCAGACTTGAAAATAGGGGTAAATTGGACAGGAACAGAAAAGCCTTCCAAAAGGCCACCAACAGACCAGGCCCGCCCGAGTTGTAGCTAGGTTTCTGAATGTGCAGAGAGCGTGTTAAACTGTACACACGATGCATCTGAGTGAACGTCCAATTTCTGACCGTTTGTCAAATGAAAAGGAAGTAAGGAGTCAAAGGTCATCGTACGGCCACTAGCAATAAGCAATTTCCATATTGTTTCGATAGCTTAACAATGTCCCGACACGAAAAATGTAAAACAATCTAAACAAGGTTATCAACGGCCTAATATATGTCCAAAAAGATAATAGAAAAACGATAAACAACAAACGACAATCACTGAATTACAGATTCATAGCTTGGGACAGGAACAGACAGACCGTAATGAATGTTACACATGTTAGTAAACACACAACCCTATCCCCGCCTAAACCGTCGACAGTGGTGTAACAAAACAACACAAGAACAAACTATACCAATCAATATATGAAACACAAATATGATGAACAGCAAAAACGAACTCAGTTACAGGCTCCTAACTTGGGACAGGTACATATAGAAAAGGGCGGGGTTAAACATGTTGGCATATGCTCAACCTGTCGTCTAATCCTTGACAGTTGTGTAACAGTTCAACAGTACAACATCAGAAAAAGCTATAAAAATAAGTAGAAGAGGTCTTAACTCATCAATTCGATGCACACAAACATGTATTTCAAAAAACATTGTTATGATTAATTATCCGATTACGAATTATTTAACCCATTTTTTACTTTTTGTCTAAATATCTTCTGCTATCCTAACTTTCAAGTCGTTAATCGTCACTTTAACTTTATCCAAATTTGATTCCACATTGGCAATTACCTTGGTGCTATTTACGCTTATCTGTTGAAGCTGGTGTATTTTAGACGTTTCCTTTTGTATAGTTTGCATTCTTCTCTCAAGACTTTTAAATGTGTTTAGTACTTTTTCTTCTATTGCCTTATATTTAGACGATACTCCTTCCATTTTGTTGTTTAATTCTTGCTGTTTATCGATTATTCGTTCCTTAAATCTCGTCCAGTCTGTAATATTTGAATTATCATAGTTTTGTTGCAACAAATATCCAAGGATAGGCAAAGTCTTCGGCATGTTTACTGTTACAGTGAAATGTTTGTCATTAGCTGAACTCTGCTTTTCAGATTTTGCAACCAGAAAAATACAAAAAACATGATGTAAATAATTATCATCATAATTTTTTTCATGTTACCAACCACAGTAACACAGGTTTCATATAATATTGAATAAAAAAAATTACAAATTTATTTAATTGACAAATTGCGTGCTATTGCATTGTTAAAAATTGACATTTCCATGTTAGCTATTGATCATGAAAATAATACTTAGTAAAATATGTGAATGTTACAAATAATAGGTTGATATTTCATACCATATTCTTCGTTCTCTTAATTCAGAACTGGTTTCATGTTCTTGAAAATAATCACCCCAAAGACGTTGTATTGCCTTTTATTGTCCGTCAGTTTTCCAATTGAATTTGGTCATATACAAATAAGAAGATGTGTTATAATTGCATACGAGACAACATTTTACCAGAGACCAAATGACAGATAGCTCAAAGATGTTCGCTTCTCTAGTTTTTTTTTTTAGACGAATTTTTACTAGTTATTCGGAATCCTCTAGTTTTATCCTTGAAGTGTCATTACAAATTGTGCCCGCTTTTGAAAATCCTTGTTATTTTTCTTAGTTTTTGGAAGAAAAAGGTGCCAATGTAAAATGTATGAAAATTCTAGATAGAATTATTTCCCGCCAAATTTTCAATAAATTATATTTCGCAAATAACCACACAGACCCTTCATGTTTTTTTTTTTAGTTATTTTGAATAACAGTCTTAAATAGCTTGATATATGGAAATAGAGTAGCGAACAGTCTTTACAACTACATGTATAGGCCACAGTACGGCCTTCAACAATAAGCAAAATCCATATAGCTTAGTCAGCTATGAAAGGCACGTAAATGACATATGGAAAACAATATTCAAACGAGAAAACATAACGGCCTGATTTATATACAAAACCATGAACGAAAGCTGTATTTGGCAAAACTTTTAGGATTTTTTTGGTCTTCAATGCTCTTAAACTTCGTACTTTATTTGGCAGTTTTAACTTTTTTTATTTGAGCGTCACTTATGAGTCTTTTGTAGACGAAAGCAAATACAAAATTTCAATCCTAGTATCTATGACGAGTTTACGACTTCTAACCGACTGTTACTCGACTGTACACGACCTTAACTCGAACATTCACGACTCCTTAATAACTCCATCGCGCACCAACCCGAGCACTAACTGAAAACATATTCGATAATTCCGACCAATTCACGATCTCTACACGATCCTTACTCGACTAGCTAGAGAAAATCAACTATGTTCGATCTCAGCCTGCTTACGACCAGACCAGATCGACCTGATCGTATAGGGGTCGACGGGATAGTCGGGAATTGGTCAAGTACATGTATGTACAATTTCAGAATAAAAATGTCTGATTGTTTTGTATATGCCCCGCCGAAACGTAGGTTACCCTTGTCCGTCCGCACGTACTTACGTCCCAACAATTAGTTTCCGTTCTCTTATTTTATTTTGCCTCAACCAAATTTCATAAAACGTATATTCAATGCTTAATACCATAAAACACAGATCAAGTGTGAATTTGGGTGGCGTCACTTTTACCGTTCTTGAGTAATGACCCTTTATGACGTTATATATATGCAAGCTTGGGCATTATCTGTGTCCCATGGACACATACTCCGTTTGGTTAGATTCAGTATAAAGAAGGTTTGAGTAAAATCCTACATTTAAAATATCTACATGGAAATAAAGCAGTTAGATATGTGGGCAAGGTGGTTAGAGCTCTAGAGAGACAGGTTAATAGCTGTGACGGAGCTTGAAAGCGTATACAGCAACGGGCGACGAGAAATTTAGGTGAGGCAGTGGCTGACACGCCGACCACATTATGGGCAGTATAAAGTAAAATTACAAAAATACTGAACTTCTACATGTTCTAGGAAAATTCAAAACGGAAAGTCCCTAAACAAATGGCAAAATCAAAAGTATGAGAAACTTGTAGGAGCTCAACAAAGAGGACCCCAATGGTTAAAAAACTTCCTCAGAGTGGAGACTGATAGTTTTACTGCTCTTTTTTTTGAAAATGACACCACAAAATGAGATTTGTCACTAGATAGCAATATACTGAAATTTTACCATCTCCTTTTCGTTGCTATCTTCAGCCAACTGTTTTGTCATGTGTGTACATATGTATGTAATTAGTTATTTCCATAGATTTGATATCCAGTGTTTGAATTGTTAAAGATATTTCTTTTTTGGTGTTTCCATGGCAACAACCTGCTTGTATTTGCTAAAAATGTTTGCTAAAAGGGGGTAAACGTGTCACATATTTCCCGAAATTTGGCCAAAAGTAGAATTTCAATCACCTGGAGTGATATCTTTTCTGAAACTATTTACATATATTTATCAAGAAATCAAATAACAATCATTTTTCTTAGTCTCATATTTGTTTTAAATTGCGTCAAAAAGTTTGTTTGGAAAAAAGTGTTTTTAATTATTTGACCGTACGGTGAAATATAGTTGTTCATTTCTGAGTCATTTGGTGTCCTGTGGAGAGTTATCTCATTGGAAATTATACTACATCTTCTTATTTTATACTACAAAATTTTCTGGACATACGGAAAATAAGGACAGTCAAACAAAAAATAGCCCACAAAACAGGTAAAAATAATATTGATGTTCTTAAAACCTAATTTTGAAGGCTAAATTAGTCATCAGCTGTCTAAAAATGAATTTTATTGTACAATTACTTTCATATTTGAAAATTCCTCTGGGGCTAAAATGCAGGATCTACTTCCCTTACGAAATACCTTAGATCATCCGAGGTTTTGTTGGGTTTCGTGTTGCTAAGTTTTTAGTGTTCTATGTTGTGTTATATGGACCGTAGTTTGTCTTTTCGTCGGTTTTAGTTTTTCGCTATGGATTTGTCGGTTGTTTTCGACCTTTGAGTTTGATTGTTCCTTGAGTATCTTTTGCCTCTTTTTTTAAATTGGTACCCCTACTTGCAAAAGTACAGACAAGTACTGCACATGGAGGAATATGTGTACAGTCAAAAATAAATAGTGACAATATAATTTTGCGGAAGCAAAGTTATGAGAGTTATTCAGTTCGTGTAGCAGTCATGTGTACTCGTGTTTGGCCGAGTAGAGACCGGAAGTGGTCGAATGTGGTCGCGTATAAATCGGGTATTGGTTGAGTTGGTCTGAGATGCGTTTTTTATGGAAGTCGCAGTGATCTGGAAGCGATCGGGCTTTGGTCGAGTTAATTTGGACAACTGATCGAACAGGTTGGCGTTGATCGGGAAATGATCGGATATTAGTCGAGTAATGGTCGAGATGAACGAGTACTGATCGGTAAAATATTTGTGTTCCGATTAAACTCGATCTCTACACGATCCTTTTCCGATCAATTCGACCGTTATTCGACAAATTCTCGATCTCTTCTCGAGTGACTGGCTACTCGATCCTTACTCGAATGTTTTTGACATGTCAAAAATTCTCGGGTAGAAAGTCAGATCAATGACGACCTAGGTAGACCACCCCGGACATTCTTGACGATTGAGTCAGACCATTCTCCCGATTACTTAATCTGTCTTAATCAGGATTGATCGACTTGATCTAATCGGCAGTGTGAACCTAGCTTAAATTATCATTCAACACTGAATCAATAGCAAGATTAGATATGTCCATGGAAATTATCTATGTGTTTTTTCCATATCTTTTAGTTCTGTGTGTGAATGTTTGTTATTATAGTTAATATTTGTTAACTCTATTTACAAACTCATTATATCGAAAAATTTATCAAATAATATCGTCTGTTTCCCCCGTTATATATTTTTGTAATACTTAACTTTATTTGGAATAGAACGTTAGGATTATTTAATTAAGACATTGCATTATAAACAAAAATATACATATCAGTCTGGCACTTTTGAGTTATTGCTCCTTCTTCATCAATTTTAAAACTCTCTCTTTCAAATGCAGTTATCGGGAATTTGAATTAACAACTTTTTATATTCTAATGCAGATATGTATTAACTATATCTCAGCAGTGACGTTATTGTCATTCCAATTATCTAAGATTTTATACCCAAATTAGAAGAGAACCCGACCTAATAATTTGAAGTTGATACAGCTTCGACATTTGACATTATCTCATAGAAGAAGGCGAATAGAATTAGTTAAACCGCAATCTCCAGTAAGGACAGGAAAACAAAAATGTAAAAACTTTTAGATGGATTCTTACTTATCCAACATAATCATTCTATTTCTCTGATCAACTTCTGTGTTTCTTTGACATGAACTTTTGCATTCATACGTCTTTGGATCTGATTCTAAATCTTGTGCCTGGTGAATTTGTCATTTTGAACAAATATCACAATGAGCTCATCAACAAAAATCTCTTTATAGAAGTATTATATCTGTGATCAGGGTATATTTCAATTGACTGCATAAATGCTTGACGGGCGGCTTCATGGTCTCCTGATAACTGTAAAGCAATACCAACAATGTTGTGTGCTTGATATTGGTATTTGTTGTCTTTTTCAATAAAATAATTTTCTGCTATAACAAGTTGTAAAGTTTGGATGGAATCCTGACATTGTCTGACATTATTGAGATGATAATGACACAGAAATTTTAGAAAATAAGCATAAACTATAGAGGAAAGTGTATATACTCCATTTTCCACTTCTATTTGTAGTTCGATTGGTATTAACCCAGACTTTTTTCCAAATTTCATAAAATCTATAAGCATTATTTTCCATAGTCGAACGATACTTTTCTTCTGAAATAATTTCAGTTTGAACAATTGGTATTGAATCCCCGACATATCCATGAAGCTGTATAATTTTTCGTGAGTACATTTTGATAAAGAATACATGATGATGCATAACGCTTTCTTGTATTGTTTTGACGTATAGAAAAACGAAGCTATCATCAACCATCCAGAAACAGTGTCATGATAAATATTTTGAAGCAGAGTACAAAGACAGGAATTATACTGTTTATATTGATGTTTGTTACTATTTCTAGTACTATTCAGCGGAATAGTCTGCGCAGATTGTGCACAACTCAATGACATGTAGTATGTATAAAAGTATTTTAGGTAGGATTGATCACAGGAAACTATCAGGTGGATTCCTTTTTTGTATACATAAGTGTGCATCTCAAACTCAACACCCTTCCAATTATTTGAAAAATATAACAATTTTGAATTCAGTGTTTTTGCAACCTGGATAGTATGCAATGTATGAGGTTCGATGTGATCCGTCCACATTGATACATGAAAGTTATATAGTTGATCTGAAAATAAGACACACCGCCAACCGTAACTATGGAGGGTATTTAGTTTATCTAGGAGTATTTCACGAGCACGGCCCTCTATTTTGTTCTCAAACATGTTGTTTTCAGGAATAAAGTAATGCAAGCAAGCTGAATACTTAACACAATAAATAAGCCTACTAAAGCAACGCATAAAACAAGGTATAAGATTTTCAGGTTTCCATACGGATTGTGGTAATTCCTCTGATATCCAGAAAATAACTGTTTTCATAAAATATGAACAGAGTAAATCTGAACATTCTGTGTATGTTGCTATTACATCTTTCAAAATAATTTTCAGGAGTGCATAGCATAATAATTGTGTGTGCGTAAATGTGTTTATGAGTATTTTTTCACCCACAGAAAAAGATATTCGCCATTCTATATCTTCTTTCAACGATCCCTTAACTCCGATTGGTACAACAAGTACTCCGTGTTTTATGATATTTTGTTTGACATTATAACTTGGCCATGAATTATTTGATCTTGATATCCACTGTGATGCCTGTGGTATCCATGTCTTACAATGAAAGCAAAAGCATCGGTCCAAGAATCCGTGTTTGTCAGATAAACACGGTCCATGAATTATAATACCATCTGTATAACCTGCTATGTATTGTTTAAAGAGTGCGCTCGATAAATAATGTTTTCCATTAAGCAGTTCACAGTTTCCTAAGACAGATTTAGTAAAATTTTGTTCTAATAGCAACTGCGTGAAACCAGGTTTTACCTCGTCTGTTTCCATTCTAAAATATGTTATATTTTTATTAAGTCGGGGTTTTACATCCGCATAAACCTCGTGGAATTTGTTTAATGCCATAATATCCAAATCACTACCTCTCATCTCGAGCCCTTCTCCAAAACTTCCACTTGTGATAGAGACAACAGGATTGGTGCTCATCACATTATCTCTGACACTATTCAGAAGTCTGATTGTTTTAACATGATTCTCTGTTCCAACTATGTTTTGACACAAGTAGCGATAAAGCGCTAATGATACTGCATTTATGTCTGTGTCTAAAATAAACATGAAATCAATATAAAGAATGAAACGCAATGCTCACCAAGAGGATTGTAGCTTCAATGTGGAGGAGTTGTTGCGATGTCAATTTATCTTAAAAGTAGCTGAGTTTTTGCTATGACTCTTTTGATTGTTATATAGCATTGTTTTACCAAAGCTCAGTTATTGTGGATATCATGTGCTACGGAGTGTTAGGTAGATCTTGCTCCTCTTGTGACACCATTATTACTATATAAATCTCTCCAATTTTTTTATATTTTTAATAATTTAATTTGGGATGTAACGCGTCTTCTGGTTGGCTGACAGTGTTTTGTCTATCAGCTCATAGTCATAATTTAGCAATGTGACCGTGACGTCATCAACGTTTTTTCATGATTTACACCGGCTTAAAATGGAATTACGAATTAAGTTATAAGGAATGACTGTAGTATTTTTTTTCTGTCTATACGCGCGTTATTTAGTGTGCACCACATTTTTATGTTTTTATTCATAGACAGAAAATATATTACAGTCATTCCTTAAATGTAGCATCTGGTTGATATGAATAAATAGGTTTTTGAGAAATGCTTCATATGTGTATGGAAATAAATTAACAAAAACATTTAAGAAAGTACTTGTAGTACATATGAAGTGCTTGTGTGGTTGACGATTACTATCTAATGGAAAGTCTAAAACTGATAACTGGTAACATAGAAAAAAGGAAAGAAAATGTGTCATAAAGATCAATTGTGAGACTGAATAATCGTTACTATTTAATGATAAGCGACTGTCTGATCATACTGTCATTTTAGGGAGTATTTCGTCAACATTTGTGAAAAAAGGTTTTTTTTTTTTATCTTTTAGAAAAGCAGGTAAAATATCAAATGACGACCGAAAGTACGGTACTTTCCTACACAAGTCTAGGTTGTAAATTGTTTTACTTACGAACTTATATGTCGGAAGTTCAAGTCTTATTTGTCTTACCAACTTTGAATGCTTGCAATGGTCATTATTAGGTTAGTCACTCATTGTGTTGTGCAGAGTACACAAGCTAAGGAGTTGCATCGTATGACACATGTCTACTGAACCATCAATCTTAAAATCTAATAAAGTACTATTGTCAATAAAACAACAATAAAAAACCAAATTACAATCGTTTGAATTTGATAAAATGCTCCGCGGGACCGAGCTTTATACGACCGAAGACAATTGGGGCACTACATTCAAGCATGATACAGCTCTGAATTTTGATTGAGAATACATATTTGACACATCATAGTCAACGTGGTCAAAGAACTGAACAATTTAAAAATGGACTTTTATTTATTATTGTTTCATATCCAATATCTAAATACACGGTTAGATACAGGATATCAAAGGACACCATTAATTCAATTTTTGTGGAAATAAAATAGAATAAAATTTTGGAACCTAGGGACCCTAATATGGACAAATAAAAAAAAAAACAGGGCCTAAAATTGAAAGCAGTTAGATTCAGTATATAAAAGAAACCCCTAAATTTCGCAAGGAATAGGCAATTTATACAAAGTATTAGAAAAGTATTTTTGTGACCACTTTTACCAAAAAGATAAAGGCCCAAACCCCCAAAACCAACAAAAACCATCCTTTTTTGGTATGGGACCTCGTGGTACAATTTCATAGAGATCCATAAACTTATATTCAAGTTGTTGTCCTTAAACAGGAAATTCCTAGGTTTGACCCCTTTTTGGTCCATAATTCTAAACATTTTTGGCCATTACCCTGTAAAATCAATCTCCACCTTTTTTTTTAGGGTTGATAACCTCAAGTTCAATTTTATAGAAATACAAACACAATTCAATGTTTTGAAACAAGAAAACTGCCTTTTGTGGCCCGTTTCAAGACCCTGATTTCTTACGACAGAAACCCGCAAAACAATCCCAACCTTCTGCTACAATTTCACTTGTACAAAAGAAATTATCTGTGAACAAAATTTCTTCGGTCAAAAAATGTCTTTTGACAACAACACATACATCGTCATTACAAAATACGAACGACGAAATGTTGCGGTCGTATAAAAAGCTCCGACGTGAAATAATGTGGAGCGAATCAAAAGAGAAAATGAAAAGATAATATGACAGAGAGTGGTCAACAACAAATCCTGCATTACAGATCCCTAACTGTTGGTAGGCATGTTAAGGACGTGACGGAGTATTACTTGACTGTAAGCCAGAACACTTTCCTTAACCCGTGACTAGGACCAGTAAATCATTCATGTATAAGGTCCAGTCTGTGACAGTGGTGTAACAACATGACAAAAACATGCTGATTGATTGGCTCATCAGATACGTTTACTAAACTTGCAAACTATATCATACATATAGGCCTAATTTAAACCAACATGTCAATCATGTTTTTGCTTAGTGAAGTATGAGACATTTTGTAAAAATATAAAGAAACGGCCATTTAACTTTAAATGGAGAGGGAATATTGACTATTTTTTATTGTGATTTTTTTCGTGACACTACCAAGCAAACATTGAATTATTTCATTTTTTTTTAACCTCATTAAATTGAAAGCAAAACATCTAATCATCAATTTATCTCCGATCGCAATTTTCATATTTCTTCGAAGAATATTTTTGTGTCGTACCATAACCCACTCTCTGCGTATTCAGTACTCTATAACGAATTCTTTTTAAAACGTTTTTCCTCTTGTAAAGTTACATACATGCCATTTTGTTGGATATTTCCGTTAAACTTTATCTACTTTCGTTTCTAATTTTCATCAACCTTTGTTTTAAAAGTAAACTTAAACGTCCAAATGTCTGTAAAAATTGACGTTCAATGTAGCCGAAATAGAAACACGAAAGCAAATGATGAAAATTTATGTTTAACTTGTATCATCTTCTGCAATTACTTCGAAAAAAGTACATACCTGCCATTTTGTTTGTGCTATTCAGATCGGTATTTCCGTTAAATATGTTTAATCAACTTTTGTTTCTATTTTTAATCTTTCGTTATCAATGACATATGTGTATTTTATAACGAAAGAGGCCTTCAGGGAATATCATACATCATGATACAATTTAGTGTGGACACATAAATTCACCAATAAATGATCAAAAAATTTATATCATCTGCATAAACACAGTTGAATTATAAACAAGGTATTTAAAATGTTAAAATGTCAAATTAAATATGTGTATTTTATAACGAATAAGGCCTTCATTTAAGAGAAATTTAAAAGGACAAACGTAACGTATACACATTCATTTACATTACATGTGAAGAAAACAAAACAATGTGAGAGGAGAACTAGCTTTGTGAAAGAAAGACAACTCCACTATAAATAGTAGCGACAAACTGTGTCATTTAATTAAAGGGAAAACGGTACTATTACATTTTCCTAGCATTATGTTGGCCTTTTGTGTACCCAAGGCAGGTGAAGGAAGTCAACTTAGGAGCGCTGTGATTGGATGTAAGGGTACAATATATTTTTTTATTTATCTATGAATAACTGCAGTGTGTATATTTACAATATAAATTTTGAAACCCATTGAAATATTTTCTAGAGAATTATTCGAAAAGACTTCCAAAATTTCATAAATTTAATGTAAAATGACGGTGGGCATGGATAACATAAACAAGCTCCGTTGGAAGTTGGTCGTGATACTATTTGGCTTCAATTTTTAAAACAGAGTAATAAAGTACTTACACCACACATAACAGTTTTGTCCAGGTTTTTATTATAAAAAGGGGTAAATTTAGAAAACGTTAGTATTGTCGCCTATGGCAGAATGAATAGTACCGTTTTCCCTATAGTACAGATCACATAATAATTATGAGGCTGGGTTTGGAGTTTGTGATGGGAACAAAAAGGGGGGGGGTGTCGTATGAAAGAAAGATTTTCATTTTTGTACACATTAGTTTTTATTTTTGTATACATTTATTTCCTGCATTTTGCTTTGCAAAATGATACTTTTTATCCTTTTTTGAAAGTTTTTCTTTTTTGCACCATAGAATATTTTCTAGTTTATCTGAAGAGTTCAACTACATTCACGACATACATTGTAACTCAATGTATTACCCATTATAACTACAGAGTGGATAGGTGGAAGTATTCTTCCTTTCCTCACATCTTTCTTACCTTTAATCCTTTCTCTCAGTCGTTTGCTCTATTCTCCCACAAGAAAAATGTCTTCCTTAATAAAAATAAAAATGAAGTTTTGTTCATTTTTATAAGAGAAGAAAATATCTCCCATCCTTTACTCTTCGACCAGTCCTCCCTCACTTCAAAATGTTTAAAACTACAATATATATATATACAGTTTGATAGTTGTATAAATTTTGAAACCCATTGTAAATTGGTTTTTCATTTGTTATACTGATAAAATCTTTGGTTGTAATTGAGATTTATTGAGACAAAACATTTTGTATTCTTCAAAATTGTCTGAAAAAGGATATTTATCAATCAATTGTTAAAAAAAAGAACACTACTTACTTGATATGAACTATCTATTGGACGCGAAGATTTTTCCCTTGAAAACTGACTATTTACTAGTTAATGCTTTTAGTAAGTATTTTCTGGGTATGTATTATTTACTAAAGGCAAACATTTTACTGTACTTTATGTATACTTAAACACTTATTTACTGGCCATTTGGACAACAGTCTGATTATAACCATCATAGCCAGTAAATAATTACACACTGTTTCATCATAACAGGAATCAGGAATAAAAAAATCTTAAAATACGATCTGTTTAGTTTAGATGTTACTTGTTCTCATAAATCTAAAACTAATGTAACCGAGACATGAATGTCTGGTAAATCGGAGTAATGCAAAAGATTTGATTTAAATCATATTGTTAACACGTTAAAAACTAGTTACACAACTAGCTATTGATTTTCAGACAGATCAGACAATTAAAACATATATCAGAAACTCGTTAATTGAACTAGAACTTGGTAGAAAAGTAATTTCTGGTACATGTATGTCATTTACTAGGGGTCATAGATTTACTCAATTCACAGAAAAATACACATCCCTCCCACATTAAAAAAAAACAAAAACAAAAACCACACGCAACCAACTGTACAGAATGTATAATAAAACACTTATTTACGGGCCATTTGGACAACAGCCTGTTTATTAACCTCATAGCCAGTAAATAAATATACACTGTTTTATCATACCTGGAATTGGGAATAAAACAAATCTTAAAATACGATCTGTTTAATTCAGTAAATAAACACATAAGCATACCAATACAGATACTTATGGTTAAAATAATTGTAAAAGAGTTCTAAGGAACAAAGATATTTTATATACAATCCCGTTATATTGTCAGTGTTTAAAAGTGTAAAAATCAGCAGTTACTCTGTGAATGCACTTCTGTATGTAAAAAGCTGGTGTTTAACCTAAGCTGACATTGCTATATACTTTAAATAAACCCTGTCATTAGAAGTTGATATGAGCAAAGGTGAAAAAGGGTAAAATGAAAAATTAAATTTTACTCATTTTACTCAACCATTAGTCAAATTCCACGTCTGATGAGTAAAATTTTTTTTTGGTAAACCTGGGACCTATTATGATATTATATCCTAGGATAATACGAACATTTACTGTGTAATTATAGATTATTATATGGCATTTTCAATATTGGCCCTGGGATCAGCCCTAGACTCCATTATCAAGCCAGAGGGCTTTAGCCCGAGAGCTTGATTTGGGTCGAGGGCTGATACCAGGGCCAATATGGAAAATGACATGCAATAATCTATTGATCACATCTTTTCAAGCCGGAGAAAAATGAAAGCATATGTCAAATTATGTTTAATATTTTCAACAAAAATTCAAAAAAACATTTGAAGTGAAAAATAAAACATATGTATCACAGTGAGTTTATATTGATGTTTTTGATTGACAGGTTACCGGAAGTCAAATTCGGGGACACGTTATTGGTTTTCGAATGCTGATATCGATACTGACCCCCAGGGCAAATAATCAATAATGAATTGTTTTTGATTGACAGACGTATTCTCAGTTGTAAGTCATCAAGAAGTCTATGTATATAACAATACCCTTTAACTTGCGTATACATGAATAAGTTGATTGATTGATTTGTAGGCTGTTTGCGTAACTTCCAGTTGCAAATTTTACAATCACATTCAAGACGATAAATATAATGTTTGAATAAACGTCATTGAAACAGCAACTCAGCAAAAAATGTGACATTAAACGACAGCTGGATGTTTGAAATGTATCGAATTGTTACAATCTTTAAAATTGTTACAATATGTCTTCAAACAGCGAGAGACCCGCAACCGGAGGTGGGCAACAGCTGACCCTTCAGACGTCAGACTAAATTTCGAAACATATAAATAAACCAAAATTAAAAATAAACATACTATCGAAGGTTTCTCTAACTTGGGACAGACGCAAACATGCGGCGGATTAAACATGTTTTGTTTTCTCAACCCAATAGTATACTAGTATTTTTATATCTATAAAAGCGTTGTTCCTTTCCTTTTTGTGCAGGTACTGATTTTGTGTCATTGACGGATGCCCTCTGTCCTTTTTTTCTGTAATATATATATTGTGTTCCAGTTTTAATAATTATTCTGTCTCTACAATTTCGACTTTTTGATTATGTTATTTTCAAAGATATTCAAAATAGATGATTTATTAACATCTGTATCCTATGTTATGTTATAGTGTATGCTATATGTATTTAGGTGGTAAGTCTTTGATAAACCAATAATAAACTACGGGGTGTTTGACGACATTGACTATCCGAGGAGAACGGGCAGAAGACAGGTATGACCAATTACCTCTGTATTTGTTTCATTCACTAGGCTTAAATCTTCAAGTTGTCAATTTTTTCTAGATATCAAATATTCATTTCGAGGCTTTTTGAAGAACGCCAGTCCTTGGTGTGAAATAAGTTCAGAGGGAAATTGACCATACCTCCTTCAACATGATTTCTTTTCTGTATTTGTTGTGAGTTAAGTAGGTATCATCTTGATTATTTGGAACTATTTTCTTTTGTTGATTAATACATCTTTAATCTTCTTCATTAGGAAATATTTAAGAAACATACTACATTATTAGAGAAGACGTTACAGAGTTGTAAAATTTGTGTCTAATTAATTCTTCATTTTGGACAATATAATGCGTTTAAACTAGTATAGACCGCGACGGAGGCACATTATCAACATGCATTTATAAAGAATATTTTAATGGCAACTGTCACAACCACAAAACTATTATGTAAATTGTCACAATACACATCAATTCAAATCTAGTTGACAAAGTTCGCAAAAGCTACAAATCTTTGTAACTCAAAAACACATTATGAACCTTCATCAATTCTTTTCAAAATGTCATACAAGGAAGTGATAGGGCATTGAATCTTACAAATCTATTGCTAGAAAAAATAAAACTGAAAAATCTTATTGCCGAGTTTTAATAATTTCTTGGGGTATTGTCAAGACCAAGAAAAACAGGAATCGGGTTGTTTGTCCTGTAACCCTTTGCCAGATCTGGTATTTTTGCATTGTTAAATATTTTACAAGAACAATACTATGTTTGAGAAAAACAAATTTCAATGAAACAAATCACTAGTCTATAATAAATCTGCCCTGTAAATACCAGTTATTCAACTGAATGTACAAATATTACAATGAGCTCATTAACGATAGTCCCTTAAAAGAAGTATTTCATGTACGATCAAGGCATATTTTAACTGACTTCATGAATGCTTGACGGGCGGCTACGTGGTCTCCTGATAACTGTAAAGCAAAACCAAGAATGTTGTAGGCTTTAGTTTGAAAACTAGCAGTTTTTTCAATACAATAGTTTTCAGCTATAACAAGTTGGATGAAATCCTGATATTGTCTGACATTATTTTGATGATAATGACATAAAAAAATATTGACAAATTAAAAAAAAAAACAGGCCCCAAAATCGAAAACGGTTAGATTCAGCATATAAAAGAATCCCACAGAATTCAAGACTTTGAATTAAACCCAATTGAAATTTCTCAAGGAATAGGCAATTTATACAAAGTATTAGAAAAGTAATGTTTGTGGCCACTTTTATCAAAAAGATAAAGGCCACAACCCCCAAATCCAACCAAAACCTTCCTATTT